CCTATGCTAAGGTCCCATTTTAGTACGTTGCGGGGGTGCAATAGGCACATAAACAACACAACCAAAAACTCGTAAATGTGAAATGTTTGACTGATGCCCAAACACAAGTTGTACTGAGGAGTATTGGTGGTTGGCTATAAGTCTCAATCGAACCAGTGATGCAAAATGTAAGATGACATGTCCCCATGTAGAAACTAGCAATTTTGTTTTCATGAGCAGAGTGCGAGCTTTTAACTGAAGCCGCTTGATCAATGTTTATGCTAGACCATTTTGAGTACGGAAATGAGGAACAGGGTGTTCAACATCAATGCTCAATGTCATGCAGTAATCATCAAAGATTTGAGACGTAAATTCACCAGCATTATCAAGTCGGATCGACTTAATAGGGTAATCTGGGAACTATGCTTGTAATTTAATTATCTGAGCAAAAAGTCTCGCAAAAGCTACATTTCGAGTAGACAGGAGACAAACATATGACCATTTGATAGATGTATCAACCAAAACCATAAAATATCGAAATGGTCCACAAGATGGTTGAATAAGTCCACAAATATCCCTTTGAATTCTTTGCAAAAATGATGGGGATTCAGCATCAACCTTTAGTTGTGATGGTCTGATTACCAATTTCCCTTGAGAACAAGCTTTGCAAGGGTTATCATTTGAGATAACAATGTGTCTGCTCAATAATAGATGTCCATTAAAGTTGATAATGATCACACGCATCATGGTAGATCCTGGATAACCCAGACGGTCATGTCAAAGCATGTAAACTTTTGAATTAATGAACTTCTGGTTCATGACAGTATGTGATTCAACTGTCTTTATGTATGTATAATACAATCCACTCAACAAACCATGCAACTTCTCCAATATACTTTTCTGGGTATCATTGGAGGTAATGCATAGATACTCCACATTTTCTGCACTTTTCGTTTCAATGTGGTATCCATTTAAACGTATGTCTTTGAAACTCAACAAATTTCAAGTAGATCGAGTAGCATACAACGCATTTTGTATGGACAATATTGTTCCATTTGGTAACATAATCAGGGCTTTCCCTGAGCCTTCAATTACATCTGAAGGTCCTGATATTGTTGTTACCCTTACTTTTGTAAGCATCAATCTTCAGATATACTTTTGATCTCGAAGTATTGTATGCGTAGTTGTGCAGTCTGCAAGACAAATATCTTCGCCATTTCTCATGTTTTGAGAATGACCATAGTTTTTATTCATGCTCTCTGAGTAAGGGAATCAGAGTTAGAAGCAAGTTGTAATAGGAAATTTACATGCCATTTTTATTGAATCTGAAATGCTAGTTTCAAACTACAAGTTCAGCATAATAAAAATACATCAAACATAAGTGATTCAGTCGGATCAATATACTTCATTCCCCATTTCCACAATGAAGTCTGAAACATTTAGATGAGTTGTGTTCAACTGCCCTTCAACTGCCCTGATAAGTCACACACTGGATCAGGTATATCCATTGGTTTAGCCTGGTCGAGAAAATTGGTCTCGACACCCTTCTCCTTGAGGGAGGCTTGATACAGATCCACCAGATGTTTTAGGGTACGACAAGTACGCACCCAATGCCCATTGCCACCACACCTATGGCAGGCTCCTTCAGAGTTTCTGGGAACATTGTTCATATGAGCTTTGCCTTTGTGGCGATTCACATTTTTTAAGCTCGGGCCTGAATTTTTCCTTGGAACTTGGTTGTGAGACTGACCACCATGGTTCTTGCCTTTCCTGTTCCATCAACCTCGCTTATGACCAGATCCTTGTTTATGATTATCACCATCAGAGGATATGGCGTTCATTTTGAGGGAAGCAGCATATATTAGCTAGTTGTATTCAGTGAAGCCTCGCGCTCTATACTCCTGATGCAGGAGCATGTTAAAGGCATGAAATGTGCTGAAAGTCTTTTCCAGCATATCTTCCTCAGTAATGGTATCCCTATAGAGCTTCATTTGAGATGTAATTCTGAACAACGCAGAATTGTACTTTGCCATTGACTTGAAATTCTAGATCCTTAGGTGAGTCCATTCATAGCGAGCTCTTGAAAGAATCACCGTTGTCTGGTGATTGTATTTGTTTCTCAAGGCCTTCCAAAGAGTTAACGGATCTTCAACCGTTAAGTACTCGCTCTTTAGTCACTCATCAAGATGGCGATGAATAAAAATCATGGCCTTCGTCCGATCTTGAGAGGATAAGCTGTTATCTTCCCTGATGGTATCTCCAAGATTCTCTGCTTCCAGATGGATCTTGGTATCTAGTATCCAGGTAAGATAATTCTTCCCAATAATGTCTAAGGCAGCAAAATCAAGCTTTGCCAAGTTCGCCATTTTTTTTTCTGAAAGAAAATGAGATGTGTAAGAACTTGTAAGAATATGTATTCCTAAATGAATATAGTGTTAGAACTTCTGGTTCTTATAAATTTTTCATTTTGATCTTCAGGCCAAAATGATAAGCACTCGAAATTTCAGGCTCGAGATTTTTAAGATGAATGAGGAAGGCGATTGTACCGCACTATTCTCATTGAAACAATATAACATAGAATGGGCGATTATTCTGCACCACTCAAGTAGTAGGAAAAATTTAAATACGCATAGCAGGGTGGGCGATTATACCGTACCACCTAAAATTGCAATAAAATTAAACAGCAGGCAAATTTAAATATGCAAGGTAGGGTGGGCAATTATACCGCACCACCTAAAATTGCAGTAAAATTAGATTTGCAGTCCAAGATAGGCGATGATACTGCACCATCTTAGATCGCAGTAAGATTAAATTTTCAGTTCAAGATTGACGATTGTACTGCACCATCTTGGATTGCAGTAAAATTAACATAAATAAATATTGGGTTAGTAATCAAGATCTACACCAAACAATAAATCAAAGATATATGTAACTGTTAGGTTAAGAACTAGAAGCAGGCATGGAGCAAACAGTTCGTCGCGAGGGTATATCACGCAGTTAAGGCAGAGAAAGAAGATGAACAGTAAAAACCTTAGAGGAAACTTTTTTTTTTTTTCGTTCGGCGAAGAGAAATGAGAGAATGATTAGATTTTAGAGAGTCGTGCTGATAACGTGTTATAAATATATAAAAATTAGAGAGATAACCTTTTTAGTGAATGGAGCGAGGCAGGTATAAAATATCACACTGTAATTATAACTTTAATGAATGACAAATAGAAAAGGGAGGAATGGATACTGATGTTATTGATCTTTTTGTTTTCTGTGTATTGAAAGTATACGGAGCGCTCTATTTATAGAGCAACTCCAAACTAATGCATTAATTGCACATTGAAGCTTACAGCACTTCCTTTGACAATACAATCTCCATGCATTTCCAAATTCAATTTCACTTTGCATGGGCATTGAAAATGTGTGTGTGGACATTCATAACAATGCCAACGTTTTCAACAATATATATCATTTTAATTATTATAAGCCACTAGACTTGGTTGAGATTTAATCAACCTTTCATTCAAAATAAACCCTTCTCTCTCTCGACCTCACATCACTATGTGACTCTCTGTCTCTTTTGACTCCTCTGCCCAAACCCAAAGGACTCGAGCTCTCCTCCTCCCCAAACTTCATCACCCAATTCGCAGTCCACCCACACCACATCTACACCCATCTCTAATTCTCTCTCTCGAAACTCCTCTCAATCTTCATGAACTTGAACTTTCAAGTTTGAAACAATTTTAAATTCATTTAGAATCTTGGTTTGTAACTTAATTTTTTGCTTTTGTGTTTGTAACTTAACTTATTTCATTTTGGTTGTATGTATTTTTAATTTAAGTAGTTTGTTAGTATAGAGATGGTAATTACAAATGATACATTGATACTAATGAACATGATTTGCTTGTAGTTTGTTATTATAAAATTATAAATTGTGCAAAGCATTGTGGTGATAAATAGAATTGGTATGAATTGGACTGACAAAATTGGTATGAATAGGTATGAATCGGGTTAACCAAATTGGTATGAATAGAATTAGGTTGACCAAATTAAGATAAGTTACACATTCAAAAGGCCTCAAAATTGGGCTAACCAAATTTCAACCCAAAATCTAGATCAAATTAGAAAGCCCAAAAATTGGACCTGAAGGTCCATTCCCGATCCCAAACCAAAAAATCGAAATAATTTTTGTATTACTGAATTTCAGGAAACTGAAATTTCGGTTCGGTTTCAGTTTTCAAAATTTCGTCTCGGAAGTTTTCAGTTTGGTTTTTGATATTCAAGTATCGGTTTGGTTTCCGAACCACATAAATTCTCCTCGTGCAAATGAGGTATTGTTTGGGCCCAAAATAACAATTTGAGCCGAGAGTAACAATGGGCCGAGACTCTTGATCTAATGATCTTCCAGGGGTATCATGGCCCGACTAGGCACCTTGTCTAGTCGATTTTCGATCGAGTCCTTTTGCGAGAATGATTGATTTGGATAAAGATGAAGGTTGAATCCTTATACCACCAGGGTTGTTAATGTTGGAGGAACTGAGAGTCAGGGAATGAATATGGTTCATTATGAAGGTGGGTTCAAAGTCCCAATTGAATTAGGATTAGACGAGCCTTAGTTAGATCAGGATAAAGAGTCCAAGTCCGAGTGTGGTTCTAACTCGGCCAAGAGTAGGTCCACTGCTATTAATAGAAGAGGGAGTACTGTTCTAAGCCCCTCCAATTCAACACACAAACTGCCTTGCGCAAACTCTCACTCTACGCAAAATCTCTCAACAACCTTGAGATTTTTGTTTTCTTTTTTCGCCAACACATCTTCAGTTTGGATAAACAGCACTGTGAAGGCAACCGGCGACACCTTCAGTTTGGATAAACAACACTAGAGCCGTAGAATCAGCCAACCAAGGAGCACCATCAGTTTGGATAAACAGCACTGCGTCAAGGACGACTGATTACCTATCCAAGACTCGACCGACAAGGATTTTCGAGTCTTTGTTGATAGAGGTCATCTCATTAGCTTTCTCGGCAAAGTGAGGTGTTATAAGTTACTGGGCTCAGCATATTGAACGCCGAGTTGTTTATGATTGGATATTTACAAGTAAGTTTTAGAGTTCGACATTCTGACGACCAAACCACATTTACCATCAAGACATACATTTCGTTCGAGTATTTGTGTCCGTATAATTTGGTGTCAGTTCGACGTGCTTATACTCTTACAAATATAATCACCGTGACCGAACCCGGCACCAACGATCTATGAACTTCGCAAGACTAGTAGCCTTGTCTTCAGACTCTATAACCCAAACGTTGAGACGTGTTCCTTCCTCAACTGTGGTCGTAAAATCGAGAAGTCAACAACACAACATCAACATATTTTACTCCCCAACCGAGCTCGGCCGACGAGTTGGCACACCCTGCACATAACCGAAGGACGTAGTTAGCTTTTTAACTACTCGGTCTACGCGCCACGTAGGCTTAATAGTTTTTAGGATCAACAGGTATCAACTCAATATAAACAGGCTAATTAAACTGCTTTAAAATTATTAGCGTTGGTGAATCACTGGTAGGGGTAAGCTTAGATACCTCTATAAGTCTTCCCAGCTATCGAAATAGTGAACTATCATGATGGTCCCCTTTTCATAAAAGAAATAAACAACTTTCAAAAATTAGCATGCTATGAACATATCAGTGATGGGTTTGCCACTTTAACACGCAACTTTTCCACCTGTAAAACAATATTAGTTCGATTAGCCTCTAGACAATGATCATGCTTAACACTAAATATGTCGAAATCGATTCTTACTTTTTTTATTAAATAACTAGCCTTCATGCATGCACTCACGTGCATGTAGAAGACATTTTTTGAATTACGACGTGCTACGCACGACTTACACATTTTAAATGTATTTATATGCATCAATTGACATAAAGAAAGTCAAATATTTGAAGTACATAATTAATCTTAGATCATGGTAAAAGAAACCAATTTCTTTCTGTCCGGACTCAGTTAAGGTGGTCACGGCCAACCCTGCCGATTGATCATGCGCAATGGTTATGGGTGTAAACGTATTATTGAAAAGGTAGCACATGTTTGTTCCCCGATTTGATTTGGAACGCAAATCTTATATTTTCATTCAACTGATAAAAGAACTAGACTGTTTTTTTATGTAAAATGGAATTAAATCTTAATGTATCGTAACCATGACTCATTTCTCATCACAAAAAGAATAGAGTACAAATATATTGGTTAAAAGTTTACTGCATCTTTGAATACTGAAAGTAAGAGTATAGAAAGGAATTTCAGTATAGAAAATTAAAAATATACCTGCTAAGTAAAAGCTACAATCCTAAGTTGCATTCAGAATAAATTTGATGCTTTTACATTGTATATGAACGTTTAAAAGCTGTGCAACAAAAAATAAAACAAATTTCACATATTATTGAAATAAAATTCAGCAACCAATTCCCTAAAAGCCGAAAAAAGTGAGAATAGTGTACCAGGTCGATGACCAAGTCGTTATAGAGAGCTTCGGTCACTGATTGTGCCTACTCGGTTAAAAGATCTTGATGAGAAAAGTAGGCATTTTCGTAACCATCCTGAGAAGTGAATTTGACATCCGAAATTGGAATTTCAAAACCCACCACAGAGGAAAACAGCAAAGAAGAAATCTAGTGAAAGTTATTTTGTGATTATTAGTATTCTAACAACCAAAGCAATTTCCAACTTCAACATTGAAAACGAAAGCCTACAAACTCTATATCAATCACTTCATAGTGATGCTTACATTTTGTACCACATTTTGGCTCATCAATGTTTCCATACTCGTTTTCAATCTGGTACAATTTAAACAACAATTAACCTATAACTCAAATTGGAATATTCTTAAAACCAAAAACATTGGGCGAATAATATAAAGAATCAAGAAAATTTTAAACCTGGGATAAAATGATGGGTCCTCCCTGAGATGCATAAAGCTTCTCCTTCATCATATCAACAATTTTTTTCGTGAACCGCTGCATTTCTGCCTGAACCACGTAAATTCTACTAAAACACTGGAGTTGAGAAAACACCAAGAAAGGAAACACTAACACAGAGGCAGTTGGGATAAAGTGGAGAAGAAGAAACCTTGAACGGCTCATTGTCCGTTCGCAACCGAATTCCGGGTATGAAATGCAACCAAAGAGGAAAGCCACTGTTGAAAATTTGAAACACAAACACAATCACACAATAAAACTTCTTCAGAAAGTATTGAAAAGTAAGTTGATCATCATAAAAGCAACTTCCTTTTTCTATTTCTCCAAAAAAGAAAAATGGAAAAAGACCAATTAAAATTCAATTAAATTCATAATACCCGTAGTTCCACTATGCGCACACATATGGACCAATTCGAAGGTGCACATACAGGCCAGCTTCTGCTACTGTCTTCACAAATTTAACCAAATCCTTTCTTCCCCCAAAATCATACTGCAAAAGTTGTATGTTCCACCGGTCACCATCATAACAAAGACAAAATGCACATAATTCAAGATAACCAAAAGCACAAAGCGAGACAAAACATCGAGAACGAAGAAAACTGTGCATAAATGAAATTGAGTCGGTGAAGACCACGCGTGACCATTTTGCTCTCACAGCAAAGCAAATCAGCAATGTTGAAATAACAATCCCTTTGCTAATCTTTTCCCGGTCGACTGAAACTGGGGACTGCCAAAACCCAAGAATTCAATCACTGAGAAAACATCAAACAATAAACACCAAAGAAGTCAGTCACTGAGAAAACATCAAAAACCAAAATCAGATGCCAAAAATCCGTAAAATTAAAAGAATTAAAATATGGATTTTATTAATCCGGTGCTGAATCACTAAAATACCACGAATGATGCTGAGAACTAAATCAAACAACAGCAAAAATTAAACACTACTTTATTTTTTTTTTTTAAATTCGAAAAAGGAAATAGGGTAATGATTTTTCTTCACACACCTCTCTAACCCAATGAAGGGAGCTCCTATCAAGTCCTTCAGTGCTTCTGGCTTCTTCCTTTACCTGCACAAACAATCATAAAATTAAAAACCCACAAACCAAAAACTAAAAAGAAAATCAACTTTTTTTTCTGCAGAGATTCTGACAGAGAAAATTGAAGAGATAGCTAGAAAGATCATCGGGAGAGGATCAACTTTCTCTCTTGGGCGGAGACCAAATTCCGGCGGTATTGGCCGATACGAATCTATAGGCTCCGACCTTGCGCGATGAAAAAGTTATGATGAAATGAAGTTTTTGGAGTGGAAAATGGAGGAGGAGAAGAACAGCAGTGCAGCTGCTGATCTGCACGCAGGGAGGAAAGTGGCGTGTTTGGTATTTTCTATGAAAAAATTATAATTTAAAATAATAATTATTTAAAAAATACTATTTATATGACGAAAATGTCCCTAAATTATTTGATGTATTATTTTGGTCTTCTTCTGAATTTTTTTGTTTTGAGGGCATTTATGTCCAAAAAAATTGTCGAAGACGGTAACCCCAAAATGAGCCTCTGTCTTTATATAAATATAAAAGATAATGTGGTCACGTATTGTCGTATCATGATCTGTCATTGCGATATATTTTATTTCTACTCACAACCAATCGGCTGATGCGCTCAAATTGAAAGTTTGTTATTCTTCTAGGCCAATTTACAATTCGTGAAGCTCCTTGAGCTTAATTGAAGAGCATGAAGGGAAATTAAGGGGCTCGTTTGGTACGGCGTATGTTCAATGTTAAGAAAATATTATGTCACCTAGTACTGTAATCTAGTAATATTTTCTTTCATTTATAAGCAGGGTCAAAACCTTAAGGATTTTCATGTAAATATGTACAATCATATAACAAAAACTTGGAAGAAGGGTCATGCGACCATCTTGGCCTTCATTGGCTCCGTCAATGCTTGTGAGCAAATAGTTCATGGACGGCAAGTTTCAATACCAAACTATGATGACATTGCCCAATGCGTGGCTTAACTCAAATCTTCTACCCATTAGTATAAATATATCTTTGTATTAAATAAACAAACAAACATACATACAAACAAACATGGAAACAAAAGTACTTACTAGCAAAAGTGTTTCCTGCAAAAGCATTCCTAACTTGAGGAATTTTTGGATTGGCTTAGTTATGTAAAAGAGGTTATGGAGTTCAAGTACTTATACATCCTTAAAATAAATATAATATCATCCAATACCAAAATTTTACACTCAATAATCACCAAAATCTTACAATTATATAAGACATACCAGCATGGCGATCATAGCTCTTCATATTATGTGCCTCTTGTGTAAGGTACTCTGCTGCTTTATGCATAATCTTTTACTCGTATGACGGAATCCACAACTTTTTGGTTGGACATCACTTCCGTATGCCAACACAAGGAACTCTATTTCATCATCTACTACCCCAAAACCTACTTGTTTGATTTGTCCATAATTCTTTTCTCAATTCCAAGATATGTTGTCCCGAGTGCATGCGCCATGGCTATACCAGGTCCAAAACTAAGGATCTGCTCTGGTATTTTCAAAAAGATTAGATTGCAAGTATGCAGGAACATCATGACCCAGTAAGCCATACATAATGCTAAATAGCCCTATGTCATGATCACCGAGAGGGTTACCAATCTGCCTAAAATCTGCAACAACAAAACTCTGTAAGGTTATTTTATGCATCATTTACCACATGGAAGCCATATGTGGCATTTACATTCTGTGAGGCATTTGAAATCTCGCTTCCTTTCCCAGAAACAAGAATATCTATTCATGAAAATGAACCAATTCTCGGACAGGAGTATCTTAATTCTGCCTAACCCAAATTTTTTTTCGTGTTGTCGGGAATTTGACTAAATATCATGAACGAAGTGGGGATAATACTTGTAACTTTAAAGTCTTCACTAGAATTCAATGTTTTAAAATGCTCGCCTCAGAGTGCACCTAGCCACCCTGTGAGGCTGGGCGTGAAGGTTGCCACCTCTGTTTTGAGGGAGTGGGTGGAAGGCGTCGCCTAAGCCGCCTAGGCGGTGGAAGGCGCGCCTCAGGGTTTTTTTTGTTTTTTTTTTTAAACTCCCAAACCCAAATTTTGGGTAGGGGTTCAACTGCCTCATACCTCTTCCTTGCAATATCATCTTTCTGCCTTTTTTCTAATTTTTATTTTTTATATAATGGATGTGTGTGCTGTCTACGTGCATTGTTATATATGTGTGCTCATTGTGCTTTTCATCCTCTATTATATATATATATATAATATGTATATATATGTGTGTGCTCAGGGTGATTATTGATTAATAATCTTCTTTTTTTAATATAATATATGTGTACGCTCAGTGTATATATTAAAAAAATTAGGTCCCGTGAGGCTTCGCCTCACGCCTAGGCCGTGCTATCCCTCGGACGCCTTACCCACGCCTCATGCTTTTAATACACTGCTAGAATTAGAAGCAAGTGAAAAGAGAATTGGGGAATGATGTGAAGAGAAATGAAGAGAAGATCATCAGCTTCCACAATCATTAGTATTGATAGAATAGAATATGCACAGCGATAGTTGTATCTTTTCATTTTGAATTTAGCTGCGGTAATTGTATCTTTTCAGTGAAGGGAACATATGGAAAAGCTTAAGATGGGCCAAAGGGGATCACATGTTTTTCTCCCTGTCATTTCTCCAATATCTTCTCTATTTCAGCTAAAAAACAAAATGATTAGCAAACGTGCTCCAAAATGTTTATGTTTTGTGTTTTGTTGTAAGACTCATTTGACGAGTAAGAGGATCGTTCCAATTGAAGTTCATACCCAGAATTCAAGATTATGTTTTTGTGTTTTTGAAGTTTCTGTTATGATGAAGAATACTATAACGAACACCCTATTCATAATTTAATAAGAAACACATACTTTATTGATGATGCATGACTAAACAATAGTAACCCATAAAAATTTATAGTCAGAAAGAATCTGATTAGTTTTGCCGATGCAAACAACAAGAACAATATAACACTGAGAAACAAAGTTTTACTCACCTTCCTCAATCAGTAGGGGTAGAAAACCCTTGAGCCTGTAGTTCATCAACTGGGGCACAGCTATTCCACGTGTTAATTTCTAATTCGAAAGGCTTGAATTGCATACCTTGACTGCAAAGTGAAACTATATAAAAAATGAGAAATATAATTAGTCTTTCAACCAAACACTTGTTCTACTGATGAAATTTTTTGAAAGGCCAAAGAATACAAAAATCTGTTATAGTTGAAGTTAGCAAATAACTACATGGTACCTGGCACCAAGAGACCTTAACCCTTTACGTTTGATCTGGTTACATATGCTCTGGGCACTAAACTTTCTTTCTTCAGTGCAAAATACAAAACTAAAAGACACAAGTTTATAAATGGTAACCTGGCTTAGCATACGAAAACTTTACAATGACCTTATTACTGGACAACTACTTCCCTACCTGAATCTTACTTGATATTGCCGCATCAGATTAGAAAATAGTTTCAAGTGCTTTAGCAGAGAGGACCTGAAGAAAAGCCTATATGTTACATAAATAATCAGACTAATAACGTAACTGTAACAAGAGTAATGTGTATACACATATTAGTCAAAGGAAGACGGTGATAGATACAGTAAGGCTGGGATGGTTACCTTGTTCCAGGAAAGAGTATATACGCTTATCGGTTGTACTGATGCCCCCTAAGGATGTGAAAGAAGCCTTGAAACTTTTATGAAGAGAGGGGGAAACAATGAGAATTACCATTGTGTATGTTTTTTGTTTCTTATAACAGAAAATAGAGGAATTCAATTCAGTAAAAACAAGGGAAGAAAGTCTAACAATTCTTTTGTTTGAATGGGCTGACAACATCACAGAACAATTCAGTCAAAACTTTAATAATTATTGATGAACCACTAGTACTAGAGATTGAGCTGAATTGTTTTCTTCTGGTGGAGGTTGATGCTGCTTTTGTTAAGTTTAAGCTGAAGCAATCGCCACACTTAACCCCTAATTTCCTCACTGAAGGCTTCTCTTTGATGATTGTTCGATTTCCAAACGCAAAATTCATTGGCAAAAAAGATAGAAAACAATTTGATGGCAAAAAAGTAAAATAAAACCGTTCCTGACACGAAACAAGAGGAAGAATTATTGTAGTCTCAACCTTATCAGGTATCTAGCACACAGTAGTAAGGACTAGGGTTTGAGTAGTCATTCTCCAACAATACATGAGTTATCATTTGGATTCTTTCCCATGTTTAGATGATATATAGCATGATCAATTAGGGATTAAGGTATTGACACAATTCATTCTGCACTTAATCGGATATCCAAGTGGTTTAGCAGAAATGCACTCCGATGATGATTGAAAATGCTTGGGGAAATGTTGGTCAAGACTCAAGTATGTTCTGCTAATTTATTGTTGCGATTGGTTGGCAATCAAGACCAGAAGAGCTATCCAGGGATGATCTCGTTTGCATAGTTTGAGTTTAAAGTATAACAATATAGATAGCAAGCCTTCTCTAGCACATGAGCTATAGGCTCGAAGCATATTTCACTCAATCATGAACGCAACAATATATACAACAAGCTAGAAAATTTCCAAATACTATTCCTAGAAATAGAAGAAATCGTTCGCGAACTTGTTTCAAGCACTTTGTTTGACTAATAATTATGGTTTGCAATGCATAATGCTGTAATATTATGAAGTTGACAAAAAAATATTATCACTCTTGTCGTCGAGTTTGTTACAAGACCCGCAAGAAGGTTGCCCCCAATTAAATTTTGTGCACATATATGAACAAGAACAATTTTCTCATTCAACATATTACTACTAATAATGTTTCTATAAATCGACGAAAATCCATAATCATCAAACCCACAATGTCATACATTTCCATTCCATGACATAAACAAAACCATAAATTAGAAAAAACAATACAACAAAAAAAACTCATTGTATTCATGTCCTTGCGAATCGTCGGATTCATCGCATTCATCTTAATGGAAAATGCAATACAACTCCTCTGTTTTTGCTTTGTTTCCACCCAACTCACCCATGAAACTGGTACATAAGCTCCAAAGCCCTCTCCTTTGAGCCCTGAGGGTCAAAACCCTTCACACTGCCCACAAACCCATCACTATTAAGCTGCCTCTCCTCTGCCAGGGTGGCCGCAGAAGGAGAAAGTCGCCTTTTGGGCCGCTTGTTCTTGAAGCAATCCCTTATCTGCTCCTCAACCATGTCAATTGTGGGCCCAGAATTCCCCTCTCCAAAGCTATCACAGTCATCGTCGCAGTCGCCGACTTGCATGGGCTGGTTACCGGTGGCAGAGGAGAAGGAGTTCTACCGCTGGGGCTGG